GGTAGTTATAACTGGGGTTATAAGTCCCCTAATATGGGTTATAAGTATAGTTACCCTACTTATAACCCCAATTATAACTACCCATGAACCTCCAAGTATGTGTGTCAGTCAGTTGATTGGTTTGGCCTCTGTGGCTACAGCTAGAAAATGCAGTGTCTCATTGCTCGTAGCATGATCGCAAAGGCCTCTTCCTATTCTGCCCATGAACATGCTTATTCTGGATTCACATCGCCACCGTTGGCGGAGCGATTGACACACCCATCATATCTGCTACTGCGCTTTGCGTATCTTGCCCACCATTGCAAACCACCAACCTGTATGCTTGCCGGACACTGGTGTGGGATCTTCTCCAATGAGGAGACCCCTTAACTTCAGACCTATACTTCGTGGCCACAAACCGGATCCAGACTGAGCTCTACACAGCCACAATGCACCAAACATATGACAACACCATCTCAGATCTCACATTCCCAGCCCAAGCCCAAGGGCCCAAGCCTCCATCCCGGACCCTCCAGAGCCTGCTTTGCAACATCATCCCCCGCTTCATACTCTGGGTCTCCAAGACCCACCTGCATCGTCGCGGAAATGCTTCCCTCTCCGAGCCAGGTCCATCGCAGATCCTACTTTCGGGGCGCGGGCGTCGATGGACCAGTTTGCGATGACTTGGCGTGCTTCCAACCTCAAGTGGAGCTTCAGCTTTGGGAGCTAAGGCCCCCAAACCCTAAAAGCCTAAACCTTAAAAGCCTATAAACCCTAAACCCTGAAACCCTACAAGGGACCCGGGATCCTGAACCCTGCTAAAGCCCTAAACTTATAGGGCTCGGGACGGAGAGTCTGACTCCTTTTTCCTGTCCGTCACAATGATGACAACCTACAGTACCCTTTACCCCCATTAAAGGCTTCTCGGTTCTAAACATCCAAAAACACTGATCGTAGGGTCATATGGGGGAGCCTCAATAATTACCAATATCATGTTGGGTGTGCTTTATTAGAATTATACTATATTGGGCCCCAAAATGATTGAGGCCCTACATTAATCGAAGTTGAAACCAACCCAACCCGGAAGCCCGAAGGCCAAAAAGGGTTCTGAGGCATCGGCGGCAAAATGTCGCTGCCCCGGCGTTCTAACGAGTCAGCCTCACTTGCAACAACATGGGGTTCGTGCTGCATTACAGTGAGAACATGGTGCAAACGCGCCACTCCTGGTAACCTCGGATCAGCCAGTCCTTTCGAGTCAGTCGTCAAACGCAAGCTAGACAGCTCCTATCGAGTTCCAGCACACAGCAATAATCCCAGCAAGCTACCCGCAACAATGAGAGTTGATCATAGCGGACTTCGTCTGAAGCCCGTTGTTGTCAAGCAGGTGATCTGAAACCCAACATGAGCTCGAGGCCAGTTTGGCGAGTTCCTTGCCCTTCACCGGAAAAGCCTCAGTCGCACAAAGAGGTCCAAGCATGACCAAGGAGGGCAGAGGCAAGAAGTCGCACATGTTTTCTGTCTCCAGCAACTCTTCTGCCCATACAGCGATCAGACGTCTGTTCCGCCGCTTTCGATTCGGACCGTTTGGGGCTGCCAAGGTCCCCTGGCTCGTCACCCTTGGAGCCGTGGAGCCTCGCGGGAGCTGTGGCGAGCTCAAGACCGCCGGCTCGAGCGCAGACCATCGTAGGCGGGAGTTCGTGGGAGAGGACTTCCGGTGCTGCGACTGCCTGACCTTCCGGGACTCCAAGTGTCCGAAGTCCAAAGCATCAGCGGGGTACTTTGAGGGGATAGATCCTTTTCTCCCCACTCTTGATGTCGTTGACTTTTAGCTGAAGGATCTCTACACCCTCCTTCGTGGTTGCCACAAACTCCGGCAAGTTCTCACCGGACTCATGCTCACCGAACTTTGTGACAAGGTCGCTTCCTTCCAGCTTCTTCACGACCTTGTTCGTGGGCACGTGCACGACCTGGGTCGTATAGTGGAATCCATTCGGCTCCTGACGCCGGGTATACACGATCTTCCAGCTCCCACGTACAGTTTCCTGCGTCTGGGTGTCCGACATGCGCTGCGCGGGGAACTCTGGAAATTGATGGCAAAGACAAATTTCGCACGTCTTGTCTTAGAAGCTCAAAAAGCTGGTTCTCCAAAGATGCAAATCACTAAGTCATGGATAAACTCAGAAGGCCCCAACACGAAATCTCGAGGGGTACCAACGGATCCGAACCAAAGGCTGCTTCTGTGGTCCAGGACGACCCAACACGAGGCTTCAAGGCTCGCGCATGTGTGAATCCTACCAAGGCGCTCGTGTCTTGAAGATAGATCCGTGGATCCTTGCCATGAAGGCCCTCCAAAAGAAGAGAAAATCATAATTCTCAGACTACTTTCTTCGAGCCTAACCAGACAATCCGATCCCTACCATCTGTTGAACTGATGCGATGCTGCTTCACTCGACCCGGCGGTCGCGCACCTGCTGTGCCAAGGGGAGGCAACACTCCGGAGCCCTAAACGTTCAATGCCAGAAGCCATCAAATCTTGTAGAGGTTGCCTAAAATACAAAATCCATAATCAAGGACCTACCGGAGCCTCTAAGCAGCCTAATCATGTGTTTGCTGGAGCCCTGTTTGGGGGCGACCTTGCAGTCAGGATAATGTAGGGGACCTAAATCATTATCAATGCCATGGTGGGGGTTCCTTATTATAATTATACTATATTGGGCCCCAAAATGGGCCGAAATAATTACCAATATTCTTTTTTGGGTTCCTTCTTATAATTCTGGTATAATACTGGGCCCCCAAACCCTATTCTAATTATTAAGGCCCCCTATACTAGGCTCCCCTCCGAGTCCAAGGCCATGGACAGGTAGCGCGTCACTTCGAGCGTCGGCTGGAGCTTGGAGGGCTGGTAACCTTTTGAGGGATCATTAGGGTTTAGGGTTTGGGGTTGTCATATGTACCTTTCTGGAATCGATGTAGCTTGGGGTTTGGGGGGCGTTTGCAGGGTTAGGAAGCTCTGGGTGTGGGTTTAGTTTAGTAGTGGTCTCAGTGCCATGTAGTTTGGTTGACCGATGGTTTAAGGTACGATACGGCTTGAAGCTTCGGGGTTATGGTCTTGGCGGCACCTCCCTGTCTCTACGTCGCACGAGATGAGCCTGCAAAACTGACGTCACGCTCAGCAAGTTTGTCAGAGTTGACGAGGCCTACCATGTGCCACCTATCAATCAGCTGCAGTATGACACTGGAATTGATCCGCTATTGATGAGTTCACTGGGGCCGATGCCCTGGTAAACGAAAGCCACGAAGCCCATCAAGGCGTCGTACCACCGCTCACCTCGTGCAGGGCCAGGTATACTCGACTACATGCTGAGATGCCCAGACGAAGAAGGCACTTGCAGAAAAGACGCTACACGCAACCATCCTGTTCCCTCCCTCGAAATATCTTTGTTCTGATATGTTCGGAAAGAGTCCAGGAGGTCGTCGGTTTTGTGGGCTTTGGGCTCAGTTGTGAATGAGGCATGAGAAGCTGAACCTCAGGCGGTTAGACCTGAGGTCATAGGACGAAACCTATACCGGCAAAGGAAACACTTCGGGGCTACAGCCGCGCTATTTTGCGTGATACTTCCGACGCTTGACCAACTCACTATCACTATCCGTACAAGGATTTGCTGAGTAAAGCCTGTACCCACCAGGATCCATGGCGATACCCGCGCACTCAGAAGCTCTCTGTCACACACCCATGCATCGCGCCTGGAAAGTAGCGGGACACGCCGGGTCGCCCTTCCTGCGGGGGACAACACTCCTACAAACCTCGCATCTAATGTGCGTTCGGGGGCGGATCCTACTGAAAGCGCTCCTCGACATGACAGAATATGACAAAAAACTTAGACTCTCTCAAGCCAAAGCCAATTACCCTATGAATCCCCTCATCAACACAGTCAACACTCAAATTCCCAAACCCAGAAAAGTCAAACGGAAGCCTCATGTCACAACAGCCGCGCCACCTTAACCTCCCTAAATGCTATAAACCCCAAAATCCCTGAACCGTGCCCCAACAGCCTGAGTCCCAAACCCCTACAGGAAAAACCCCACATCCCTCAAACCCGCCGACCCTTGCCTCGTCGTCCCTAAGCCACCCAGGGCGCCCTGGGGGTGCGATTGCTGACCTCGGGAGCCGCAGAAGGATTTGGGAGAAAGCCCTGAAGCCCCATCAGCACCTCATGTGCATGCACATACGAATGTACATCATGCGTATATATATATATATATATATGTGTAATCATACACACGTATTCTCTGTGTGTGTGTGCCTGAGCGTGTGTGCGTTCGTCTGTCCGTCGGTGTTTATACATGTATACGTCTATGTACAACCCAAGTAAATGCATGCATGCGTTCTCGCATGAATTTGTATGTGCTACGCTTATCATTCATGTCACATTGTTGCTTTGCTGATTGACGGAATCCGATCTTATGAGGCCCGTGCACCGGCATTTTCCGGTGGAAGTTGGCTCCAATGTTGAGGTCCGCTGGCAGAAGCGCCTCCGATGACGGCGAGTCTCGGATTTGGGCTCCAAATCTCTCGGGATAAGTTGCCTGGAGTCCCTTTAGAGATGCCCACGGGAGCATAGCATGGAAATAGGCCGCCCCACCTTCTCGCCCGTCGTCACACGGACCCAGTCGGCAAGCTGTGTCGCTGAGAGGTAAGGGTCCTCTTCAACAGGGCCAGTATATACTGGCTGCTGCCGCTCCCACCTCTTCTATGTTTACCTCTACTTCTGCGTCCACATCTATGTCTGTGTCTGCATCTACATCCACCTCTGTGTCTACCACGACGCCTACTGCGCCTAGTATGTTTACGACGTCCGTCTACTCCAATAACAAACAATGGTGGTGGTGGTGGTGGTGG